AGTCCTCCTCCTCAGTCAGTCGGACCCGCAATGGTGGCATTGTGCCGTGACCTCCCGTCCAAAATTTAAGTATACCTATGATATTTTTATAAGGGTAGATAAAATCTACTAGTACATGAGATATAATCGCATGCCCGAAATCTTCAATCTCTCTCTCAAATGAGAATACTCTACCATTTCTGTAGCCATTAATAACCGCGCAACTAATTTAATTTAAAATATACACTGCTTTTTTTATTTCAATTAGTGTTTAAAACAAATTTTTGTAGCCATATAGTCACAAAATCATTTTATTTTACTATTCTGCTTTCATACATTTATCTGTAACGACCAGAAAATTAATGTCATGCTTATGATTGGATCAACAGCGAAAAAATTAACTAAACTAACTAAAAGCAAAAATATTGACCTAACCTGTCTCAAATTCTTTTAATAAAATCGAGTAATTAATTTGTTGCCAAACTTTTATTTTTAAATGTCTTAATTTGGAGTCCAAACTTCGTTGCTAACGCTTTCTGCCGACGTAAATCTCTTAAAGTATTCAGCAACAAAATACAATAAGAGATGTGCCCGAGGCAATATGGGGTTCAGGAGTGCAGGTTTTTGCAAGGTCAACAACGCACAAGCGAATCTCCTGGAGTTGCAAGCGTTCACAGGCTACCATAATAGTAGGCACTATAATTTCATGTGATTTTTGAACTTACAGTTGGAGTACATAGCGAATATATGGGAAGACCCGGTAGTAAAGGAATATGCAGTACCAAAAGAAATATTTCAGAATTTCCACAAAGCATACACTCTGGGTAACAAACCTGACTACGATGTACTTCTTGAGGAATAATTACAAGCCACACACGACATTAGCATGATGACAAACACTAGTCGAGTACAATCATTTATAAAAAACATATTGAAATAACCTGTTTTATTACTTGTGAATTTCTAATGGCCGATAACATTACACGTATTGTCCGATATCCTAACTAATACTTACATTATTATAGTATTTCTTATATATAATTATATTCTATATATTATACAACAATTATAATATTTAAAACCGCCCTTAATAAATATTTTTAACGAAAGTTTATACTCTAACATGTTTAACATCTTAGTTATGTAGTGGTAACAACAATATAAACACCAATAATACTCTGTTGGTGGTGTATCTTCACGTAACTGCGGATGGCGTAGTGGTTTAAGCGGTCGCCACGCCACTTACTACTACGTTGTACGCGTTGTGGGTTCGATCCCCACTTTGTGTGACCCACAAGTTGTTGTTCTGAGTCTGGGTCTTCTTTATGTCTGTTTCATGTATGTTTGTAAAGTCCCCCGCGACACAAGATATATTCCTAATGCGGGAGTTGTCTTGAAAAAAAGAAACAAACAAAACAAACTATCCACGTTCAGGTAAACCTAAAAGCAGCCTTATTTACCAACGTCACAAGCTCTCTCTTTCTCTGTTTGCGCAACATGGTCAGAATACGCCCTACCCGGGAAAAAATGATCAGGCCTGATCAGACCTGTTCATGCATGATCAGACCTGAAATTTGACCTGATCAGACCTGTTCATGCCTGATCAGACCTGACGTTAGACATGATCAGACATGATCAGGCCTGATCAGACATGATCAGGTCTGGGCCGTAAAATACGTTCAGATCTGATCAGGCCTGTTCATGCATGATCATGTCTGATCAGGCCTGAATGTATTTTACGGCCCAGGTCTGATCATGCCTGATCATGCATGAATAGACATGAGCAGGTCTGATCAGGCCTGATCAGACCTGTTCATGCATGATCAGACCTGGACGTATTTAACACTGCAGGTCTGCTCAGGCATGATCATGCATGAACAGGCCTGACGTGTTAAATACGTTCAGGTCTGATCATGCATGAATAGACATGATCAGGTCTGATTAATAGTTAAATACTTAATTATTATTCCTATATCTTTATATATCGATCGAGCTGGACCAACTGGATCCAACTCGAGTTGAATCAGACCAGACATGTTGATTCGATATATATATATACCTTTTGTTCCATTTCCTAACCAATGCATTTTTTTACTTTCGATTTATTTATATTTTATTAATTATTCTTTCAACTACAACGATAATTTAATACCTTCTAAATTCATGATATAGTCTTGAAATTTACAAAATTACTATTTTATTTTAATAAACATATATATTACATAATTAAAAATTAATAATAAATAACTGGTCATTGTAAATTTCTGTTATAGAAAAGACCTTTGTGTTCTTACCTTCAAGGTTAATATTTTGATTTTCTCTGCTCAAATAATTTTTAAATTTTATAATTTAATTAAAACTTGTGTTTGAAATAATTAAATTTATTAGTGTGTTATTTGCAATGTTTACATAATATACATTTGTGGGTATACTGATCATATGTATATATCACACGCCACAAGTCATCAAGTAAATATATATGGGCACAGCTATGTGTGAGTGTCCTCATGTATAGCACACAACTTTATATGTCACGTGACACACCGGTGTAATTCACTTTCAACATGGATGCCGTCGCATAATAAGAGTATAAACTGTGTGCGTCTTCTACTAGCGTCTGTTTATGTGCAATTGTATGTGATTTATTAATTAATTAAACTTTAAATATTTCACTCTACAAATTTATCTGTGTTGTTTGTGGGGGCATCAAACATGTTTTTAATTCAATGCTCTATGGTGACAATTGCGCCTATATCATCGATAATGATGACAACAAAAAACCTCACGAGCTGGTTAAAGATGATATTACTAAATTCAATATGAAGAAACGACAATATGAAGGAAAAGTGATCGACTTTTCAAGTAAGATATTTAATTATTTTTGTTTATCGACATAAAGGTTATATTATTATTTTTAACATTTATAAAAACTTAAATTTGCTAACATTTGAAAACAATATTTTTTTTAAGTAAATACATTACTCCTGGTGAAATATTCTTTAAATAAATTTCATATTTTTTTAATTACTTTGTGTGAAGTTTTCCAAAATATTTGTTAAATATTAGATTCATTTCTGTCATATATGAATAATTCTCATTTGTAATAGTCCATTAAATTTGATGAATAACCATTTATTTTTTTACATACAATAATTAATATTTAATATCTATAGGTAATTCCGATTTTTTACAAAAACGAAGGCAAGATTTCAATAAAACAATCAAACAAAAAAAGAAAGTAACAGCTGGTGTTAATCGTTCGAAACGAAATCGATGCCAAAGAGAAGCTGGAGTCCAGAAAATTCACCACCTCCGAAAAAACTAAAGATTTCAAAGAATGTAAGTTGACTTTATGATTAAAATAAAATTAAACCTAAATATTTTATTATTATATTTTATTTGATTATGATTCAGCGAACGTACGTATAATTTATGTGTAAATATTGATGAAATTTCATTAATGAATACTGAGTTCATGTTCATTTATGTACCGTCATTCAGAAATATGATTTAAAATGATAACCTCCATGTTAAATGTATATCTATAAAGTACTCAAATTAGATGCTTTTAAATTAATTCAAATTGTTTTAAATCGATTCAAATTAGATTTCTTAATCAGGGTATTTAAGTGATAGTAAAAAAATAATGCTATTTTTAATAAATACTACCATTTATTTTTAAATAAATAAATTTTTTAGATGAAAAACATAGGAAATAATGTTTACTGCCGAAAAATAATTTATGATTCAGCGCTAGGAGCTTCTCATAAATCAACGCATTTGGCAAGAAGGTTGTTAGAAGGAGTTTTTAACCACGACGCCATGATGGGATGCACATTGACAGGGCAGGCTCCAAGGACTAAAGATAAAAAATCAGCTGATAAAAAATCAGCTGTTGTAAATCCATTAGATCAACAGGCGAAAGGCGCGATCGTTGGTGAGTTTTTTTTCTTAATTACTAATCCTAATAGGTAACATTGTGTCAAATTGACTCTAACGTTTTTTTTTAAATCTCTGGTTTAAGAACTTCATTTGAAAGCCTCATTTAAAGCCGTAATCTATCAATAATTTGACTGCTCAATTTTACTTGCATGCCAGAGAATAATTTTACAATAATTAGCATTTAATTGTTTAATTTGGAGCGTAATTCTTTGGGTTTGGAATCAAATTGACCCCATGTGACCGTAAATATGGATTATTATCGAGGTGTGATGTGACTCATTATGAACGAACTTTGCAGAGTTTGCGATGCATACAGCCGTTGAGAGGAAGTGGCCGATTCAAAGTCGACAAATCATTTTAAAGGAAATGAGCCAAAGATCACTGAATATAAACGCGACAACATGAAGAAGGAAAAAACTGAAACGAGTCCAAAAAGCTAAAAAATTCAATACAGTTTCACATTATACTTTTAATAATTTTAAGTTAATATTAACGTTAAGAAAGTCAACCAAAGAGTTACTTCCATATATCTAATAAAAAAATAAAAGGTGATAATTACCAATTAATCATATCCATAAATACTATAATATTTTGTTTCGGATTTTATAAATATTTTTCAGAAAATATTTAATATTCTACGGTTTGTTAAAACTTATAATATAATTATCGGATAATAAAATTTCATTACTTGAACCATATATTATGATTTTATTTCAAACCTGGAAAGGATAATTAGATTAATTAGTTCTGCATGATCTAATCATACAGATCTAATAATTTTTTCAGGCACTTTGATCAACAGAGTTTTTTTCAGGAATGAGTCTCAGGCTTAAAATTAACAAAGCTACTCGACGGTGAATCAGATCTGATCAGGCATGAGTCATCAGCCCTGATCAGGCATGAACAGGCATGAGTCGTCAGGCCTGATCAGACCTGAAAAATGACCGGGCCTGATCAGACCTGATCCGGCCGGATCAGGTCTGATCAGGCCTGACGACTCATGCCTGATCCGGCCGGATCAGGTCTGATCAGGCCCGGTCATTTTTCAGGTCTGATCAGGCCTGACGACTCATGCCTGTTCATGCCTGATCAGGGCTGATCATTTTTTCCCGGGTACTTGCAAGATTTCGTAAGTCGTATTCCGAAGCTGATCCCAGGTCTTGCACCATGTTTCTGAAGTGGCTCCCTTCCATTTGCAAAAGTTCGTATGGGTGTCCACATTCGATTACCTGACCAGCCTCCATAACCTTTAATTAAAGAAATAACTTGTTCAATATTAATGACTTAATTATTTTTTATTATTAATTATATATTTCGTGGAACTGACACACAACGCTATCTAGTTTCAAACTAAGCAGAGCTCTTATTAAAAAAATTACATTAACTGATAGAATACTTATTTACTTTAAGTCTGTCTGTCAAGTCAAATCATTTTCTCTTATTTTAACCGACTGCAAAAAAGGAGGAGCTTCTCAATACGGCGGTTTTTTTTGTTTTGACTCCGTCATTTATGAACTCATTTGGAAAAATCTTTTTTATTTACCTACTTCCTGTTTGGTGTCATTCAAATTGGGAAAAAAAATTCACCCCCAAAGGTGAAAATAAGGAATAAAGAATAGTTTCTCACAATGTATCATGACGTAGGCGCATTGAAGTCGGTGATATTTTTAAAAGTGAATTAATTATAATGAAAAATAACATATAAATTGCTAATTGTCATTACAACAGTTTTGCGTCGTTTACTTAATGTTATAAGCACGTTTATGTAACTTGTCTTTACTTCTGTAGGAAATATATGGCCCTATAAGGGTCAGCGCAGATCGAGACGAATAATCCTTGCGCGGTCTCGGCCATTTTCTTTAAACAAATAGGTATGCACTTCATAACAATAGTCTTAAAGTTTATTTTATAGTGTCTAAAAAAATCCTTACCGCAGCGCTACTCTTGTTATGCGCTGGCCCTTAGGAGCTTATAATTAAATCAATTGAATCCAAAAGAGCAGGGAACTACTTATCTCCATAATGAATGAATAAAAGAATAATGCTTACAATGACCCGATCAGAATCGGCGACAGTGTGCAAACGATGCGCTATAGTTATTACAGTGCAGTCGGCAAAGTGTTTTCGAATAGACTTCTGTATCAGGATATCCGTGCTGTGGAAAAAACTCAAACTCAAATTATGTTTATTTTATTGAAAAAATGATTGAAATCGTCTTAGTCTCTGAAGTCATAGATCAACACACAGTAGCAACATCTGTTGCCAAATATTTAGCAAAAGAAAGTTAATCCATTATGTGCCTGTGCTGGTCTACAACCGCCCGTTTAAAAGAGAAGAAAGGGCAAACAAAATCGTCAAAAGAGGGCATTCTCCTTAAAGCCATTAGCAGGAATTGGAATTTCTCTTACCAATAATGATTTTTTCGTAGATGAAAGGGGACCGGACCATATATATTTCTTTCTTTGCAGTGGATCTCATTTCTCTTTCAAGAATCATGAGTGTATGGAGACTGGACCGTTATATAGCCTGTATCGGCTAGACGCGAGACGATAGCAGATTTTGCCTTGTCGTATGAATTTAATCAGTTGAATTCTAACATAATTCTGGATTTAATTGGTTCTGGGTGGTCTAGATCTTACCTCTTATCCCTTTAAGGGATTAGTGGTAAGATCTTAGATCTAGGCTTAGGCTAGGATAAGCCAGAAGTAGTAGTTTCGATTCCCACTCGAGACATATATTGTGTGATGAGCACACTCTTTCGTTCTGTGTCTGGATGTAATTTATCTATAATATTAGAAAAATGTATATTGTTACGCCTTATTGGAAAATAAATGTGCACATCATCAACAAACTTTAATAGTCCACTGCTGGACATAGGCCTCTTCTTAGAATGAAGGTTTGGCCTACTGTACCACGCTGACCAGATGGGTTGCTATAGGATTTGTTACAAGTTTCCTTCTTTCAGAGTGTTCTCCCTTAGTCGGTTCTTACGACACCTCTGTCTACCGCTTTGGGGTTAAAGGACGTGATTATATGTATGTATAGTTTCCATTCAGAAAATAGAAAATGAATAATTTCAATTGAATTTTCAGTAATACGATAACTTACGCAGGATCAACATTAGCAGTGGCCTCGTCTAAAACGAGCAGTTTGTTGTGCGCAAGCGCAGCCCTTGCTAGGCACAGCAATTGTCGTTCACCCGCGCTGAAATTTGAGCCACCAGCGGTCACCGGCGCGGACAGTGACACTATACTGTTCTTTAACTCAACCTGAAAGAGTTACTTAAGTCTGATGAAAGCTTTTACATTTATTATACCTTGAAATAATGGTCAGTCCGTCTGTGCAAATGTTTCAAAATTTGCATTTATTTATAAGGGTCTGAATTTAAACTATTTTGTCAAACTAATGAAGAATGGTATATCCATTACATTTTAATACCTATAATTATTTAAGTTATTAAACTTACTTCTCGCTGGATACTAGGCATCGGCATTATTAAAATCATGGCAAGAATGGAGAATTTTACTGGACTGAAGCACAAAACCGAGCACTAGTTTTGTTTGCTTGGGTTATGAGTTACAATTTTTTTTTATTATTTCTGCAACTAAATTCATATGCTTTTATTAGAACTAAGAGCAGATTTACTTAACAGACTTTATAGGCCTACTTTTGTCTAAATATAAGAAATGCTGCTAAAATCTGCTTAATTGTTTAAATTTTAAATTCTATTATTTGTTACATTTTTAACCCCCGACGCAATAACGGCGGTTAAGTTTGACGTCTGTGTGCGTGTGTGTCTGTCCGTGGCGTCGTAGCTCCCGAACGGAGGAACCTATTTTCATTTAGTTCTTTTTTTTATTTGAAAAGTGAATTAGTCGGGAGTATTATTAGCTATGTTTGATGAAAATCGGTCCAAGGTGGCCGCCGCCACAAAATGGCGGGTTACATATTTTTTCACAACTCCCTCAAAATTGGTATTAAATGAAAGGGCTTGACTAGTAGAATACTATACCTACTCTATAACAAATTTCAAATCCAAGACGTGTATCGGGGGTTTTTTTTAATTTTTAATTTAATTATTATATACCTCTAAATTTTCTTTATTACTTGTAACTTTCTTCGGTCATTTGTTTTTTTTTCATTGTGATTACTGTCGTATCCGATCAGTCAAGGAGTATACCAAATTAATAACCCTTTGGTCAATTATAGTTATTAATTGTGTAGTAAATATCTTTCGTTTAAGATCCTCATACATAAATAAATAAACTGTAAGCTCTCAAATGAGTCTGTTTTGTCAATCGACTGCATTGATATAAACTCAATGATCGACTGCCGATGATACGACGCACTTCAAAATCAATACAAGTTATGTAATACAAATGTAATAAAAATAGTTACCTGATCCAATACTTTCCAAATGTCTGCATCTGAATACTTCTCAAATGGATCCATATTATGTCGCAAGCTGGCAGAGAAAAGAATAGGATCTTGAGGAATAATGGAGATCTTGGATCTCAATGCCTGTCCAGAAACGATGCAATTAGAGAAAATAATTTTACGTTTTAACTGTGGAAGACTACCTTTTTTTTATTATATTTTGAAATTTCTAAACTTTCTATAATCATCAGCTTAGGCGGAAACAGCCTTTGCCAATGGGTAGTCAAAAATTGGTTTTGCAGCCCTGATAAAACGTTACTTTAATAACACGTATACGTATGCTTTAATAATGTATATAAAGGTCGGCGTAGTGACTGCCTTTGCCTGGCTCGTCCTTGACATGAGGTAAAGTATATTAAACTAGTACAACGCACATCGAACAAATACCTCACAGAAAACCTGTGTTAAGCTGTTTCTTTGTTACTGTTTATCCAGTAAGTATCCGTAAGTAACCTGCCACCAGCTCTCTAATTCTAAAAGCACCATACTTTTGACTCTTGACTTGCAGGTGTTTGTCTTTGGACTCTTGACCCACCTGCTCGTTTGCCCTCCTATACTATAAAAAAAAACTTATATCAGATACCTTAAGAGAAAGCTTCCTTGTATCAATCTCGTCAATATATATTGCCCCCTCAATCGGTGCCAACCGAAAGAGAGCTGAAATTAAGGAAGACTTGCCGGCTCCAGTGCGACCGACTATTCCAACCTAAGGAACAAAAATGAAAGATTGGAAAACACCAGCATAGAAATCCTATTTTTATATTTTATTCTTTAATGGAAAATATACAAATTGATTTAGGCTTGAAATAAAGTATATAAATAGTTTCGGTATGTTGGCTCCAAGAGATTCAGATTCAGATTCAGGAAACACAAACAAATTTCCATCTTAAAAGAATTTGATTGAAATGTGTGGCAGATCTTTTTTTATACAGACCACTCGTAATGTGTTTCACATGTTTAAAAGATATTACCAGTTTGGCGACTTCCACATACAATGAAAGAAAAACAATACAGCGGCATCTAACGAAGACACACTGAACTACGGAGTAACTGCTAATCTTGTAATACGAAATGAACAATTCAACTTCCCGAAACAAACAGGAGGGCCACGGCTTGCTATACGTATACGTAATCGTTCCTCCACACTAGCATTCTTCTAAACTCAACCAACTAAGCTAACCTCTTAACTTATAAAGTAGGTTCACGGCGGCTGTGCACTAGGCGGATCACATCCACAACATTGCTTTATTTTACTACCTTCATTTATTATATTTCATCTCTGACCGTTGTATCTGGTATAGTAATTCACTTATCATAATAATTAAATATTAGAAAGTATAATCAAAAGTATTTTTCATCTAAGTTATAAACACCGCTAATTAATATTATCTATACCAATAACTAAAAATAGGTTTATTACTTGAATGACGCGTAGAATAGTAGGTATAACTTGTAGACTAATGTCAACAAAACTGTAAATAGTCTTACATAAGATTATTGAATGTTTCATTTTATTAAAGATCTGACCAAAGAGCAATACCCACCTTCCATCCACTTTCAATTTTAAAATTAAGATTCTTAAGCACAGGGTCAGCCTTTTCATCATATCTTAATGAGAGATCCTTGAAAACAATGCGTCCTCTTTGTGGCCAGTCTTTGGGAGGACTCGAGCCTTCGTCTTTTTCTTGGGGAAGCGACGTAAACTGAATAATTCGTTCTACGCTTGTCATTTGCGAGATCGTGTCAGTTGCCATTTTCACGCCATGCTGTATCATGTTCGCTAGAGTTAAACCTTGACTAATTGCCAGTCCCACATTGCCAGATTTGGTCGTCCCTTTAGGTTGGTGTCAATAAATCACATTTGTTTATTCATTTTTAATAATGTGCTAATAAGTTAGATAATTAAAATATTTTATTTAACGGTACTCAGGGTATAAAGATATGTATGCAATAAAAAAATTGAATCCTCACTTATCATACCAGTTTCATTATTTTAAATTATGTAATAATACAAGCATCATCGGTAGCAATGTTCAAAAAGTGTCAAGTGGTTATTTCAAAATAATCTAGCACGATGACTTCTAATAAAGCAAAACTGATTTGAATTGACGTTAAACAGTAATTGTTCCCTACAATATGCATTTTGGATAATGAGTTACCATTGAGGAGATTTTCACTAAAACTTGATTTACATTTTATGTATCTTGATGAACTTACCATCATCTAGAAGTAGAAAAGTATAAGATATTACCATTACGTAAAAAACACAAACAAGACTTAACCAGGCTGCGTAAGCATTATTTGTCACAAGAGTTAAGTACCTGGAATAGAAAAAATTGCTTGAGGAATAAAAAAAACACGTCACAATGTAGGTTTTATGCAGGCTAACGAAGTTAAGTTACTCCAGACTTATTAAAAATAACTAAATTCAAAAATCGAAATTTAAAATATTCTAGGATATCCTTGAAACCCAAAAAGAAACTAACAAAGAGATCACGTGTCGATACACCATTTGCTTTCAGTCGGTTTGAGTCCAAATCACACTTCGCCGTTAGACTTGGTGAGTACTATAACTAAACTTAAACCGTGCTTTAAAAAATATTCTATAAATTTACATGGCTATATGATGCATTCTTACCAAGCGGCTGTATGAATGTCCTGTTTCTCATCAAATTGTTTGATCAGCATGTTTTGCGCATCAAAGGCGCGAACCGTCACTAGGCCAGTCATTGTCGCGGTAACGTGAGAGAACACCGGGCTACGCGTCACTGCCTCCACTCTATATGACAAAAAAAAACCAGATCAGAATTAGAGCAATAAGTACTATCAGCAAAAGCTTGTATGTACTTTGGAACTTTTTTTATATTGCTTAATACTTATGCCGAACAAAGAAAGTAAACAAGATCAAAAACTCTTTAAACAAGATCATAGACAACCTATTTAATATCCTAGTATACTTTAGACTTGCAGTACAAAGCAGAGAGTACCCGGGCCTTACTATCATCGTAGAAAGTTTTCTTGGTCTTTCCGCCTGTGATTTGATCTTTACATGTGGTAAGTGAGATTCTTTTTAATAATAATAATAATAATCTTTATTTATGCAAAAAATTTGTTCACAACATATTATTACACTTACACAATTACATGAGTACTTAAGTACTAAAACAAAATATCTCTGGCCCCCACACTAGGATTTCCTGTGTCGTGGGGTCCAGTCCCTTCCGTGAGTTTCAGATAGTATTAAAAAGTAAAAAAAAAGTAATGCATTTATTGTGTATGTTGTACAGTTGCTAAGAGAAAAACTAAATATATATCATATAAAGATATAAGATAGTGTGTGTGTGTGTGTGTGTGTGTATGCGTATGTGAGTGTGTGTGTGTCTATGTGTGTGTTTGTGTGTGTGTGTGTGTGTGTGTGTTAGGGTGTGGGTGTAAGATGGTGCGCGCGTAATATTAGATAACAATATTTAGCAGATTTTCGATATCAGCATAGTCCATAGGTATTAACCATTTTTGGATGGTAGTTTTAAGGCGGAATGACGTCAGGTTTATTATAGTATTATTACTTTTGAAAAATTTGTTGTAAAGATAGGGTCCCATAAATGTAAAAGATTGACGAGCAAAAGCAGAACGAGCCCTTGGTGTGTCCCACTTAAGAGTTCTGTGTGAGGTTCGCACAAGGGTCTTCGCAACCCTATGAAAGCGAAGAAGTACCGAGGTAATATAAAGCTGTCTCACACGAAGGAGGTAATATTCTGAGTACAGTGTGTTGGTAGGATAACGCCAGGGTTTTTTAAATGCTATTTTTAAAATAGCTCGCTGGCTGCGTTCGAGCTTAAGAAGGTGGGTTTTTTTTGACGCTCCCCAAGCAGTGATACAGTAACCCAAAATAGATTGACAGAGACAGAAATATACAGCTCGAATAAGCAGCGGTTCCGCTACAGACCTTATTTTTTTAAATATGTGAGATAGTTTTCTTATACGTATCGTTACTGCATCGATATGTGATTTCCACGATAAGTGTTCATCGATCATTACGCCTAAGTATTTTGTGCACGAAACTTGTTCAATAGTCGGGCATTGACATTGCAATGAAGCTAGATGCTTAGCAGACTCACATGTGTGTAGTGTTACGTTTAGACCTTCCTTTGGAGCAGATCTTTTGCTTATGCTTAAAGCTATAAGTTTTGTTTTGCTTGCGTTGAGAGTAAGTAAATTATTTTTTAGCCAACTGGCTGTACATCTAAGGCCCTCCTGAGCCACATCCACAACCTCTGTCCATGTCTTAGCATGGAAAATTAAGGCAGTATCATCTGCAAAGGTAAAAATATTAGCCTGTGGCAGTTTGAGGGAGCAGAGATCGTTGATGTAGGTCAGAAAGAGAGTGGGACCCAAAACACTGCCTTGGGGCACGCCGTAAGCAATGTCTGCATAACCGCTTTTTATAGATTCTATATCTATATCGTTATTGATACAAAACAATTGTAAATACCAAACATAAATTTCGCAAAGTAAATTACTGACATACAGCGATAAACTGTATAAAATCTATAGGTACGATTGTACATTTTTGATAGTTTGTTTTGTTTTGTTTTTTTATCTACTTTACAAACATTCCAGAAATGGACACTCAAAAAACTCAGACTGAGAACAACAATTTGTGGATCACACAAGGTGTTATCGAATGTGGGGATCGAACCCACGACACTCAGCGCAACAGAAAGTGGCGAGGTGCCCGCTTAAATCACTACGCCATCCGTGCAGTCATATGCATTTTATATTAATTCGATAGAATTCGTGTTATGTTTAACATACCTTTTAATACCCTGGGCCGTGATGAGGTACATTGATGTCCAGAAGTACATAATCACAGCGGAAACACCAGTAGTGACCAGCATCAATGGATTTACAATAGCCACCATTACTGTTACACCTAAGGTCACCATGACTATCTGCAGGATATATTGAAGTGACAGTGATTAATGGTGAATTAAATATTAGCGAACAAAAGTTAAGCATCTGTAATATAATACGATTTTTATTCAGAATAATCGAAATTATTTTACTAAGTATTTGATAGATTTCATATTTTAACAGCACCCTACCTTTCCTGCTCATAAATAGTTTTGAAATGCCTTACTTAGTTCTTTAGCAGAAGTGCAGATTTTTTGAACAGAATTGATGAACTCATTTGTTTTTTTTTTAATTTCATACTTATATTATACTATTTTCAAACGGGAGGATTTATTTTTGTCCTCTATGTTATCTATTAAAAACCTGTTAATTTCACATATGTAAGAGCATTTATTTATTTATTTTATTTATTCTAAGAGCATTTAGTTATTGGAACTGTGTACCAGCTTTTTTGATATTCCGAATATTTAATGGCAAATCACTAAAACAACGTTTAATACTTTTTAGATGAATTGAAGTTCTCGAAGTATGAAACAAGTAATAAATATTAACGTAGCAGATCTATTTAACAAAGGAAAACGGATTGTATGACAAAAACAATTTAAATTTCAATTAGGTCTCCTATGGCATATACCCTGAGGTATAAAAACTCTTACAGAAAAAACCGACCTGTATGCTTTCCATATACATGTTAGGTAGAATTTCATCAATGATGCCCATGTCTTTTGAAAGTCTATTGAGGATTCGTCCTGATGGGTTGGTATCGAAAAACCGCATCGTCGCACTCAATATGTTGCTGAACATCTGATTGTGAAGTTTTATCGAACTACGCATGCAAGTCCATAGGAACAAAAGTGATCTGGGAATATAGCATTTAATAAAACTAACAACATATGTTACACATTAGCAAGCATTTTTTAACATAATCCAAGTAATAAAATAAAAAAATTGTGCTGTTGTATTTGTTGTGAGGGACTATTTTGTGGTATATGCGGCAAACGAAGGGTTAGGGTTCCGGTAACCTCAATCAACGAAGGATTTGCTTCGATTTGAACAAATATAAACTTTACTTCTTGGCTCTACAATTTAAAGAGAGTAATAAGAGTAATTAAGATTATTCATTGCTGTTTTTCTTATTAGTCCTTATTTACTGTTTAAAATGCATGCAAATTTCTGGCAATACTCAATCAACTGTCACTATTGTTTATAGGTTTAATAAAGCAACACCACGCTGGTCCTGTTTTGCTCATACAAAAAAATATTTGAACAAAAATTATATTACCTTGCACTTGTAAGAACAATACATCCAAATATCGCAACTGCCCAAATATAAATGTAATTCATATGATTTATTTTTGCTTTTATCACACTAATAGCATCAGAAGTTAAGTTGGTTGCGAGGGTTGAGTTTATTGACATTAAAGTGGATGTCTCTGGACTTTCTGTAACGTTCGTTTCACTGCTGTTGGTTACTTCAGAGTAAAAACCGAGCTTGCCTCCTCTTTGAGCTTCTACGTCATTCATCCTACAAAATGATGTGATCAATATCTTATTAGATTGTTGTCAAGCTGTTTATTTGTTGTAGCATTTCTCTTTAATATTAGATCTTATTAATAACTATAGTAAAACAATTTATAATTATAAGAAATACCCTGATTTTCTTAGTGTACTTCCTTAGAAATATAGTTTTTTAGTTTCATTACCATTGAGAGAGCCAAAGATCACCAAAGGAAGTGATGCCCTGTGCCATGATGATAGAGATAACCATAGATCCTAAAAAGAACCTGCCACTGCCGACGGAGAAGTATTTGAGGTACACGGAAAGTGGTACGCGACCTGCAAAGAAGGAAGAACAACTTGCTAGAATTATAATAATGGTGGCACTTAAGTAAAGTAAAACTTGTATTTCATTAAGTAACTTTGCTTCATGATCGGAGGTCGACAGTGTCGAGACACTGTAAATATGTATAGGTGTAAGATAATTCTCATTGGCCATTTACGCCATCAAATATAAATAACATTCCACTATGTCAGTGTTTGTGAAATTTCGAACGCAAAATAAGAACGATAAAGAGAAAGAAGAGAAAGTACATTTAGAAACAACACCGATATAAGATTCGATGATGTGAAAACGCTACTAACCTACTTTTGTCATTTACGATGATTATAAATGACGCATATGGAAGACAGTTAAATAGACTTTAGACAATATTTATTGTAGTGTTAAGTGGATACCCAGTGAACACATGACTTTAAAATGACGTCATATATAGGTCACAGGCCATACGATATTTGACGACTTAACTTTTACTTACATATTATATCCTATTTTTATCATGCTATGACATCATATGGGAGTCATAAGTAAGTCATATGATTGTATATCAGATACAGGTCACGTTTCTGATGTAATAATGATATAGTTATTACTCACCCAGTATATCATCAAGCCCCACTTTTACGTAATTTTAGGTCACATGTTGTGACTTAAATATTACGTAAATATTATGTCCTATCCCTATCATATTTCTATTTTTTCGACCCTTTTTATTTCTGAATCGTTACAAACTTTTTGATTATTTCTTTTTCATTATAATGAAATGGAGATTTTTTTACAGCATAAGCCTAAGAATCAAATCCAAAAAAATACCTTTTACAACTGTTGAAACATTCTCTTTAATAAAATAATATAATAAATTTATATTCTTATTAAAATATTATCTAAGGAGCAGATAATTAAATGAAAATGTTTAAACATAAATTTCTAATCAAAAAGCATGCCGCATCCAATACCAGTCCCGTTGTTAATTTATTGTTACTGAAAGTGTCCTGGTGAGCAGTAAAACATTTTGGAGGTCAACGTCTTGCAAAGGACATCATTCAAAATGCACCAAAAAATTAAAGTGCCGGCCAGTAAAAAAAACTGTGTCATCTTAAGACAAATGATCTTTTAAACATTTTTTATTATTACAAAAAACATCTACGACCAACATTTAGACCCAAAATGGATCTCCGAAAATCATAAAATGAGCATTTACATTTATGTATTAATTAACTATTTCTTAATCATTAAAAACCTAAACATCGAAATGAGACCTGCGGAATTATAACATATGAATAAAGCCACGTAGGTAACGAAATGCTGTCTTTTTCTTTACATATAATTTATAACACTAATACCTACACATAAATACCTACGTAGGTACCTAATGATGATTGTATATAATTAGGCTTTTTGTCATATTATATTATTATTAAGCGAGATTAAGTTATTCTTTATCATCATTATTTGATTTTTGCTATAGTAACTATGCTATATATGCTATAGTACTATAGAACTCGTATAAATGCATTTTTTATTATTTGTAAGTCATATAACTCATAAGTAATTGGTCTTAGCTCTCAGCCGTCTAAAGAAAAAATCTTAGAATGTCATTCTCTAACCGATAAAACCATTTTTTTTCGTTGACCGGCACTTTTTTTTTTGGGTACATTTTGTATGGAGCGTGAATGATTTCCTTTAAGGAATAAGTGTCCTAAGCTTGATAAACTACCGGCATATTTTTTTTAACGAATTAAAAATAGAAGTTTGTGTTTGATAAATAAAGCTTTAATTATAATTACTGTTTATAGGCTATAATTCGTTCATATTAAAACCGACTAACTAATAGTGGTGATGACAACTACCTCTTACATCGATAGATAAAAAAATTTCGTGCTACCAATTTTTTTGTCGCGATATTGTTTCGTTACTCATGCAAGTTTATTACGGCGCTCTTATAACTTATGTAAACTCTGGTTTCCCTTCATAACGTATAATCTTTCGCCTTTTACTAAAGATTTCCGTAGAGGGGAACACTTTAATGAGTCTTCTGTATTTTTGGTACTCTGCTTTCTAATAAGCATAAGCAGCATTTTACTAATAATCTATGATGTCAATTAGATGTAACATTTACGTCATATGTTTTATATAAAAGTTTTAAGTCAGGAGGTATGAAATACTGACTCATATGTGATTAACATCTTAGGCAAATCATGACACAACATGATGTCATCCCTACATAAATTTACGTAAATGTATTTACCAGGTAGTGTCCTTGTTATGATTTTAATAAAGTTTGTGTGATTTCTATTAACGACAAGCAGGTAAGTATAATGACGAAAATGTGAATTGTGAATGATAACAACGGAGGCAAATTGGTTAGTTGTTTATTTACCTGTTCCAGACATTTCCTCAGTTTCCTTTTGAACCTCCGATGATTCAATTCTTTGGTCATTTAATTCTTTCCCTTGTTCTGTCAATTCTTTGCTTCCGTCTTGCTGAAAACCAGTAAACCAAAAAAGTCGAAGCCAAATTAAAACTGACATACTCTATTTACAACATACGCTGGTCGGAGGCTGACTTAAAGATCTATCTATTCCATGATGACATAGTATACGAAACACGTAGTATACAAAACAAGAAGACACAAGATAGTATAGTCACAATAAAAGAAACTGTAATTCATGCTCAAATTTTTTGCCAGTTGTAGAGGTCTACGTGTACTCAGATGATTGTACATAGTCCAACTGATTAAAATCAATTGATCTATCTATAATGTAATCAATTAACCAAATATGGCTGATTATTGCAAAGTATGGTTGGTAAGATCTGTTGACTGTAATATTGTAGGAGCCACTTTCCAATTCTTGAGCTACAAATAGTTTACTAGTAATTACTTTGGCAGCAAGAGTCTGTAGGAATAGAGTGTCATCAGCCGCTGCGTTATCGGCGTTCTTTCCATTTTGAAGAAGCTCAGCGAATAAAGGCGTCGTTAATACTTCTTCGAATGTGCCTTGAATTTCTAATTCTCCCTAAAATAAAAGTATTACTTTATTTAGTATTTGTACATTTTGGGTGTTTGGCCTCAACCCAAAAGTTATGTCTACCTATTTAATATTATAATACCTTGAAAAAGTGTACTCCTTGCCTTATATTATTATAATAAAACATTTTTTAAAGCACTCTTAATAAAAAGTTTGCAGTTACAGTTTTAAGCACACGGGTAGTAACCTAACGCGTTTCTATACTTTTAGTTATCTTCTTTACATAAAATTTTCTAAAGCCATATTCAAGCAGATATAATCTACCTACCTAAAGCTACTAAATAATATTATTATTTTAGATAACGTTCCTGGTGACTCCTACTAGCATTCGACAATCGAATTTCTACCATTTTATTTAGAGGGCTTTTTACGTTCTAATTCTGTAAACAGTTCAAATGTCATCACAAAAACTTACATGTCTTAATATGAGGACTTTGTCGGCGTTCTTCAAATGATGTAGTTGGTGCGTGACAAGGATTCTAGTGTGACTGTCAAGAAGCCCTTGAACGCATTCGGATACCAAGTGCTTGCCGACATGCGTATCTACCGCTGATAGAGGATCGTCAAGTAGGTAAATGTCGGCCTAATGAACATAAAGGACTCAAAGTTAATCATAAAAAGTTCATTAAGTAGTAAGTAATTGGATCAGTAGCTGCTACTTTAGTAAGGAGGAGCGAGGCTGCCGTGGACTAAGGGCCGTTACTCTCTTTGAAATCATATCCTTTATTCACCATATTTACTTGTCAAATAGGTTGGCGAGCGTGTGTTGTGTGCGCAGTGTTTCCAGATTTATCGTTGTGTTTTATCTATTGTTGGTTCATGAAATTAATCTAAGTCGTCGAAAGTGAAGTATGCAAAGAGTACAAAGTCCACCCACCCTTACCGAACCCGACCTGTAGGATTCGTCAAAATGAATCATTTCAGCCCAAATTTATTTTTCCTAGGTTTCTTTACAAGCGAAGTCAATAAATGCGTTTTAAAATAAGTCTCCAAGCGTTCAAATTTTACAAACCTTACAATACTAAAAAAAAAAATGAAGATTAAAAAAGTAATTTACCTGTCTGTAGCAAGCGCGAGCTAGTCCAATCCGTGCCCTCTGTCCGCCGCTAAGAGTAGCACCTCTCTCGCCCACTAACGTTGAATCACCATGTGGTAGTAACACGAAGTCTTTTAGTAAAGCGCAAGCTTTTACTACCTATTGATACAGAAGTTTGTTTTCAACGAAAAAGCACAAATATTGTTTTAATCTAGTATAAGTCAGAGAAAAAATATATATTGAAAAGAGCCAACTCTAAGGACAATCCTTACAGTCACAATTCACAATCCCCACCTGCCGAGAAACTTTACTATCTATTATACTCGTATTATTATTTTAATATTATTAACTTGAAACAAACTCTATATTAACCTGTCTGGCCAGTGCGGTATAGTAGGCCCAAACCTCACTCGTAATTAAGCAAAGGCTATGTCCAGAAGTAGAATATTTTAAAGATTTTGGTGATGATGATGACGAAAACCAAAGAAATGTACAGTAGAACTAAAATTTTACTGGCACTGCCAGAGAACACAGGAAAATATTTTTTCGTTTTGTACCTACGTAATTACTGTTACTTACCTAATAAAGACAATTTATAAAATGGTTTCTTTCAAATATTTTTATTGCATTTCTTCTAAGCAAAAAAATATAAGAAATCTATTTAATTAAATAAAATCATTATTAAAATAGAGCATTTTTGTCATACCTTCTTATATCTGACGCGGTCATACGGCTGACCGAAAAGAATATTTTCTCTGATAGTAGCGGCGAATAACCAAGGCTCTTGACTAGCGTACGACATGCTACAGTCATCCAAACTAAAAGTACCTTGCTTCGGTTTTAATTCGCCCATAATCAGCTGCAGTAGCGACGACTATTAAATATACGTAAAAATAATTATTTATTCGAAAAATCTTAACTGTTTCTGCATGAGTATCTTTTAAGGTCAAGAGTTTTAAATAATTCTTAGGAAATCCTAAGAATGATTCTCACGAGTCATATAGTCACAAGTACCTATTTTCGTACACCAGTATAATTTACGTTTAAGGGAGGAGAAATATTTACAATAAGTTAAATGACATACAAAGACAAAAATATGATTTCATTTGTTGAGAATAGTTGTAAAAATAATAAGGAAAAACTAACTTTTCCGGAGCCAACTGGTCCAGCAACACCGATAAACTCTCCAGGTTTTGCTGTCAGTGTAATATTCCTTAAAGTATCTACCACTGAATATCCAGACCAACTAGCTGAAATGTTGACCATTGAGAGTCCCACTGGTTTGGGGTTCTCAGGTATTATTTCCTCATCTTCAAATTTAGCTAGCAAAGCCTTTGATTCATCGACATCAGACTTTAAAGACTTTATAGTTTCATTATTTTCATCCAATAATAAAAAATTCTGTAAAATAAAGCATTTTATCTGGGTCTGTTTTTTATGGTCGAGGAGGGAACCGCGCGAACGGGTTACCTGATGGTAAGTGACTACCGTCATCCATGAACACCTACAACTAGGGATGGAATAAAATAACAATCACATGATTTATAAATCATATCATCGCACCTGTGATTGCTTTATGAAGCCACAGCTAAATCGCTTTGACTAAAACGAATCATTTCATCAAATGAATATGATTTAAAAGTAGCAATAATTTACATGTCTACCTACAACTCAAGAGTTACAAGTACGTTAACTCCCTTTAAGTCCCCCACAGAAAGGAGCGTAGGATTTTGGGCTCCGGTAATCTCACCTCGTCGGTTTTCTGTGAGGCCGTGGTGTCACTCCGATCCGGCCAGCCTATCCTCTTCCACGACAACATAATTTTTTTCACAATTTTCAGAGCATAGTTTGGTTCTACGCCACTAAGTGAGATAGGTCTAGTCTTGCCGCATATTTTAGACGTCATCAAAATTGAAACTTGTCACATATACATAGATACACAACTTCTTTTACTTCAAGGGTAGGTACTTGTAACGAATATTACTACAAGTTATGAATTTATTAACATTTATTCATTTACCTCTATACGTTTAATTGAAACCATCGTCTCAGCCAGAAATGCTAGTCCTAATGGTATTAGGATATTGCAAGCCAGCTGCAGAAGATTGAAGTATTGTGCTAGCGCAAAAGTAGTCTGGGCTCGTATGTCACCGCCCATAAACACAAAAGTCACTATGGCAGCAAACAGGAGGAATCGTTCTGTGAACACTCCTAAAGCCGTAGTAAAGCCTTTTACCATGGAAGTTTTTAGGATGTAGCTAACTTCGAGCCTGTGGGAATACATTATATTATTAAAATTTCATTTTAAATATGTAGTTAGTACAGCCTGACATTAAAAAAGTGAAAAGTCTAAGAGGCATCTTAACATTTACCTGATCCACGCAACTTCAGCGGTCTTTCAAAAGGAATAAATTTTCTTCGTTTGTGCGACATTTTTTTATTGAGACTTCCTCGATAAATAGGCTATCCAACATTAAAATATTTTTCTAAAATTACCGTAATTAACCAAGCAAATAAACTTTTCAGCTTTATAATATCAGTATTACTGCTAGAAGTGAGGTTGTAAATGGACATTGGGTACTAGGGTAACTAGGTACCTTTCATCTATTAAAAAGCACTGTAAAGACAGACAAAAGTGCCAATGTATGAAATGTATCTGTTAAAATTATCACCACGTAGGTATCTTTAGAACATACCTATATGATTTTGAGTTGGTTTATACAAGTAATTAAATGTTTTTTTCATGAATTGAAACAATAAATTATCTACAATCCTAGTAATCTGTAATAAAGTGAACTCTTCTGGAATCGTGTTAGGAAGTTCTAGGTACTTAAGAGGTGCAATTTGAATGAATATTAACTAAGAGAGTCGTAACTACTCACTTTCGTAACTTGTTTACTAGTTTTCCAAAAGGCATCTCCCAAGTGTACATTTTGATCACCTGGATCCCATTCACTAGTTCACCCATCACCTTCACTCTCTCATCTGTACGTTTCGCAATTTTACCCCGAAATGTTCCTTGTATCCTGCTCAAATATACTGAAAATGATACAAGTATTACAAGCACACATTTTTCCTTGTCCCACTCTAAAATAATATCTACCCGAAACGACATATTTTTAAATAATACAGTCGCAGCTCTAGTTTTCATCTTTAATAAATAGTAAATGTTGTGTTCAACTCACAAAATATCCATTTCTACAACAAAATATTTTTGTATTGTATTCGACAAAATGTGGGCGCTTTGGTACGCCCAACCGGGATAAAAACGTGAATGAGTGAGTAAATAGGAGGTTCTAGGTACCTAAGAGGTGCAATTTGAATCCGCAACCACTTGATCGAAAGTCCGACGCCTATGAATATTGACTACGAGAATTTGGCGCCTCGAAAGCTTTCAAATAACCTACGAGTATGAAGCTTACTAGTTTTCCGTAATTTACTTAGGGTGTACCTAATCTTTGAAAGATGTGCGGTGCTCTTGAGCTAAAGTTCATTTTCGAGTACATATAGAATTACAGGAGAAATAACAATAATAACTTCACACATCACACGCAGGGCCGTCTGATACCAAACTACACAGAGCATTTTCTAGACTAGACTAGACATTTAACCAGACTGCTGATAAACAAACTATTTCTAAATACATTCATGTTATCAATAAATTACTCCCTGACACAGTGATGGTGCTTTTTACACAATTATTTGTGCTGGTTGGGAATCGAACCCACGACCTCTGGCATAGCAGTCAGGGTCACGATAGTTCATCGAACCTAAAAGGTACCGTTGGACGTTTTATACTTTTCAAGACAAAACAACTTTGTATAGGCGTAAATCATACAATTTTAATAACCTTTTCCGTAAAATTATGGAATTATGAAGGTATTTTTATTTTAACGCAAGATATACAATTCTTAATGACTAACTTTAAAAAAAACTGTTTATTTTATTTAAAACCTGATGATATAGGTCCCGCTCATCCACGTAAGCATTACTCTACGAAATCAGTTAATTTATATAATACTAGCTGACCCGGCAAACGTTGTTTTGCTATATACATTATTTCTAGGAAATATTGAAAAAAAAATTGTCATTTAGGGGTATGAAAAATAGATGTTGGTCGATTCTCAGACCTACCCGATGTGCACACTAAATTTCATAATAATCGGTCCAGCCGTTTCGGAGGTGTATGGTAACTAACATTGTGACACGAGAATTTTATATACATATAATAATAATAATATAATAATATTCTACCACATTCACACAACGCCATCTAGTCCCAAACTAAGCAGAGCTTGTACTATGGGTACTAGACAACCGATATAAATACATATATACTTTTTTTTGTAAATACATACTTATTATACATAGAAACACCCAGACCAAATCAAACATTAAATATTCATGCAATCAAATGTTTGACTTGAGCGGGAATCGAACCCGCGACCTTTGGAATAGCAGTCCGTTACACAAACCACTACGCCATCCGGTCATCAGTCATGTATATAAGATTCATATACATGACTGTCTGCGAGAGATCAAAATGAAAGTAATTTTAAACATTTTCTTGATTGTACGTAATTGAGGCCGAGTCTATTAACACACATACTTGACAAACATATGCTCAATTTTAGGCCGACACAATGTTATCTACCTACCTTTTTATTACTACAATTTAACATCAAACTTAAGACTCGAAATGAGATTGAGGATTAGTCTGTTTCGCAAGTGCAAATATAAGATTATTTACTATAATAATTTTAAACACAGTTTACCTTGCACTAAAATAGATTGTAAGATAGCAACGAGTAGAGCAGCAAGAGTTGCGACGCCTATATGTTCCCATGCAAGATATGTGACCACTGGCACCACTATAGGCATAACCCACACATAGTTGAGGTATATGGTGACCAAATCGAAACGGGTGACATCATTGGACATCAAGTTTACAACTTGTCCCGGTTCTGTTTTGCCCAATCCAGCTTGATTTAGTTTTAATATCTAAAAAGTAAGTGATTTCGTGTAGGTATATTATATGTATATACATTTTAGTAGGTTATGTAGATACTAAAATTACTCGTGGGATATACAAAAACGCATGGGACTGTTTTTTGCATAGAGTAGTCAACTTGTTAGCGTATGAGCCTGGTACGTCTCTTGGCTGCACATTGTTTTTTATGGGATAGGCCCTAGGGAGCAAACGGACTGACGGGTCAGCTGAGCCGGGTCTGAGAGCCTAGTGTGAGTTTATCTCACATCTACTAGATCTTCGCGGTAAGCGCGTTCGGAGTTGCGATTGGCCCGTAATAAAATCATTACTAAGCGTAATGCTTAACGCGAACCGTCCAGAACTAGTGCTATCAAAGATAATTGGTCAACTATATCTTAATCTTTATCTTAAATATAATAGTTTCACTGACCTTTCTGTACATCAAAGAACAACAAGCGATCCTTAATTTCATTCCAACTCTGCCTTGGCTTAGCTGAGCGTGTGTTAACAATATACATGACGTGAAACTTAATAAATTCATTAAAAAGTTATAAGTGTGAGCTCTGCGGTAAGTTTCTTTCGTTTTATCTAGTGAAAAACATTCTATAAAACGTGATAATGTATACGGAATTACTGGCCTGAAAAAAAGTCTATATTATTAACCTCCTCGGATCACTTGGGATTAAAAACAGATAGTGCAGATAACTTTATCGAAGTAACAGATGCTTAATATATTTATTGCACAATCACACCGATTTTTTATTTCTGTTGTTAAATAGAGCACACAGAGAAAAGTATGTCAAGCTTACTTGAATTAACTATCTACCTATGTGAATGAGACCTATATCTATCGTCCTGTAACTCACCAAACAATGATGAACAAAAGGCTAACTATAAGTCCACAGAGCATGTATTCAAACCAGAAGGAACGCACTAAAGCTTTCGCGAGTGACGGTTTAGAACCATGTTTTCGTTTATTCTCGAGTTCTATTTTCCAGGATTCCTCAAGACGGTTGCCAAGGCGTCCTGAATCATCGCTATTCCGGGGTGTCCACAAATCTGCCAATGTGATATTATGTTTATATCCTCTTCGAAATAGACTGAAGCTCCATCTAAAATTTTAATATTAAGTTGGAATAAAATGATACCCGTCTGGCCAAAGTAGGCCAAAACCTCCGTTCTAAGGAGAGACTTATGTCTAGCAGTGGACTATTAAAGGCTGATGATGAAAATGAAATAGATGAGAGGTATTATTTTCGTTTTATTTCATTTTATTTCTAAAAAGTTCACTTTGAATAGTTGGCATCATAGATTGTTTCGGGATCATCATAGATTGTTGTGTAATATGTAGTAAAATGTAATGGCGAAATTGCCCTTCTCTGCAATGTTGCCTGATTAATGTACTTACGTTAGAAAGATTTTGGAAAGTATATTAGCCGTGTCGTACGGGTTCTTCTGTTGCAACACTACTTTGGATTCCATAGTGCGTTTCCTACTATTACTGATACAAGTTATCTGTAGAAGGAGAACAGAAGCAATGGTAAGTTTGTTGACATTTTACTGTTTTTAGAACATTTTTTTTAATTTTTATCTATAATATTTTAAGATTTCGCAGGTAACTAACCCCACATTGTATATACACTTGTCTTGATCATCTAATAAAAGAAATCCCTTTGAACCTCGACTGGACCTCTTTCGACTCCCTCGCTTCGCATAAACAACCATGATCTCCTTCATTGCCAGGTCGAAACAAAAGTCTAAACTGTATAATAGTATAGTAGACTAACTACTAAACCAAACACAGCAATACTAGCTAATAATTATAATAAACACACACAGCATCTTGTTTTCATTTAGGCGTTTTAATCTATTTACGAAGTACTTAAGAATCACATAGGAGTGGTACTTCTAGTAGCGATAAACCAAAGAATGTTTGAACCACAGTTCAACATAAGCGTCATAAATTAGTTAGAATACAGAACAGAAGAGGGATCGCTCAACCTCTGGAGCAGTTAAACTATAAGACCGCAGAGTGAGTGATCAATACAGTTTTAACGGTGGCGTGGCGAGAGGGTCAATGTTGTGCGGAACCTGGGTATACTATTGGACTAGGAGATGTACATGCAACAGCACATTGATTCGACATGCAGCAGGTCATTTCGTGTTTTGTCCTAAGACCTTGCCTACCGTTTAAGAGTTTGTTAAGCCTAAATGTAATTTATATTGGATTCGTTCGTAGTTTACAGGAATAAGGTTGTCAGATATGGTCTCCCTGTTACGCAATACACAACAACAGTCTTGAACGCATTCAGAAGTTTATCGATCACCTTAATTTTAAATTCATCAGTCGTATTTACAATCTCTTAACTCTTGAACAGAGTCATATCCTGATGGATATGGGTAAGTATAAACATAGGCGTACCCAGCATTTATTTAGGGGTGGGGCAAAATTGAGAAAAGTAGACAAATCGGCATAGATACTTTAATGGTTCCCAGTCTAGAAATTGGGCTTTTAATATTTAGAAAAGCGCGTTTTCCCTATCACTTAGCGAAGCGTATATTATATTATTGGTTTCAGCGTGTATAACAAAAAAAGGGGGGGCTCTTCAATTGAATGTTGCGTCATCGATACCCCCCAGATCGATGCTAAGCCTAGTCCAATCCTGAATCATTACATGTTGCGTCCCGATCCCTTATCGCAATAATTAATCTGCCACCAGAGTTCCCTAGTCTCTGGCGGCTAGCGGCTTCGTCGACGGCTGGTATCACCGCCGACGTCCTCTACGCTCAGGATCGACACTCTCCCGATTTCGTGCCCGCTCTTTATGGAGCTTAACTGTTTTACAGAAAGAGACCACTGCGACCCGGTCCTCCTCACCCGCTTAATGCTGGCGAGGACAGATCTCGTCCGATTCATTAGACCAGGACCACGTGTACAGTCGCCCACGCTAGGTATGCTGGGCGAGCACCAGGACTTCCTGGAAGCCATGCACTCTAGCCAGTACCAGAGCGTCGTCTACGTAGCAGTCGACATTCATTCCTGATAGAATACTGGTCTTCAGGATGGCATCATTCGCGAGGTTCTATTGAAGGGGTCCTAAAGCCAACCCATGGGGAACCCCGTATGTGACCTCCCTTCATCCGGATCGATTGTCCTATGCTTTTAAATAATACTTTGCACTTAATTTCAGTCGACTAATTACGGTAAATATAGTGTAATATCACGTTTACTTGCCTCTTACAACAAAACACATTAAAATTTATCGGTTACAAGGACAATTTCAAAAAACGAGTTTTGCTAAAATTACTATCATCACAGGCTATTTAAAATACGAGTAACAACATTACACTAAGTGGCTGTATTTTATAGGTTTGCCAGATAATAGAAAGGATCTATATTGTATTTATGTAGGTAATTTTATTTTTCCTCATATTTATATATGTTATTTATAATCATAGTTATTTATTATATGTCATATTTAAATTAATATACATATTTCTTCAAAGTTTGCCAATCAGCTTAAATATTATGTAGGTATTGTTTTTAGCATATTTGGTGAATATGCTAAAAACGATGTATTTACCGTGGATAACTATTATTGGCTACTAATGTAATTATAGTTAAATACCTAGTTAAGGGTTGCAGCTGTTATTATGCCTAAAAATAAATAAAGATTAATACACTTACCTGACAATCGTGTCGCTGGCCCACAAGTAGGTCTTTCAATTGGTGGGGTACTGAAATTATGTTAATATACGGTTACAATAACATAGAAGTCATAATCCAATTTTCGACTTCACTATGCTCATGATCAGAAATATGTTTACGACTGTTACATTAAATCATACAATTAATCATTTTGTCAAATTTCTTTTCAATCTACTACTATTAATAGGTACGTTTACAGCGTACAGATATGCCGGTAACGTCTGGCAGGTAGAACGTCGTGACACAACGCATTGTGCTCATTCTACAGTTATTGTACTTTTGATAAGCTATCGAGCCTATCAGTTTATATTTATATCATACTTATATCACTTGTATCTACTTATAAACAATAAATGATTTTCCTTTACGTTAACAGAATTTCGTTTCTTCAAAAGGTTAATGTTAAATTATGGTTTTATAGAGATTTAAAGTTTATGTACTCAGGTAATTTTTTCGGAAAGGACTAAATGGTTATTTCTAGGACTGCGGAAAAGAGCAGTGAAAAGTGACAAGTGTTTTCAATGAAGCGGAGCGGGGCTGAGTGGAGCTGAGCTGAGCAGAATAGAGTTGCATTAAGCCGTGTTCCGTACACTCAGCACTTCAATAGCTTGGAAAGATCATACGTCATATTAACGGTAAAGAAAGGGGCAGCCCTTTTCAACCTTATCTACTAGAAAGATTGGAAAAGTCAAGTCCCGCTACCCTCCGATCGGCAACACATAATAGGTAATAATAATGAATAAATATTGAATGTACTTAACACTGTACGCAACTGTACCGAATACGTAAGGTGTATTACACTAAACATTTTAAAAGACAGCGCAATGTACTGGGTGATCGCTTTTTTGTAACCACCTAAACATGGTCGGGTTACCACGGTCTTGCACCTTCTAATGACTTTTATTTAATTATCTTGTAAATTATTATATGTACTACGCTGAAATTTTACAGGTAGACAACTGAACTAAACAACTAATTATTGGCATAACAATCAGTTTATATATCCACACACAGATTTATCGGTGGCCAAAAAAGGCCGCACACATTGTGATCGTGAACGTGGAGAGCCACATTTCATCATAACTTTTTAGTCACTTACAGTATACTTACGAAAATTCGTATACATTTGAAGTTACAAGCAATAGAATAACTTTTGAAGTAAGTCTTTAGAGGTCTTATTCAAAGTGTTAGGACGTATTGAAGTGTTTTCATACTTACCTAAATAATTTTTAAACGGTCCATTATTTTTGTTATTTTATTGTCGAACAAATTAAAACTAATCCTTAAGAAGTTATGTACAAAAGATGGTTACAATCCGCTTACCCGTTTCAGAGATCCAGGAAACCCACAAACGTTACTCCAGCAGGATCTCGAATAACTTCGCAGCCGAAGAAAATAGAAATACCAAATAAGTTGTAACATTTACCTAGTCCAGATAACTAATTATTTAGCTAACATTTATTTCAATATTACAATTAAAAAAGAAAATGTCTGGCTGCGGCAACGTTTCAAACTTTACCCCAGCAGGAAATGTTTTTTTGAAATAATTAAACAAGTTTAAGTGAAACAAATTTAAAAATGTACCTAACAATTACAGAAGGGGAGCAACTAATTATCTATAACGTTTAAATGACCATTTTCGACATTATTTTGCTGGGGTAACGCACACCCATGGAGCTTAAGCTTGAAGGCTGGTAGTGAGAGATCCTCTCCGATGACTGTAATGAGGACCCAACGCTGCGACGCCCACCCCGGTCAAATTGAAAGCGTGTGCTGAGCTGAGTCCTCACTCCTATCGCAGTCTCGATAGGCGGGACTTAATTCGCTCCCAGCGACCAAGTGCTGGTACTTCCCAAAGCAACCGTGCCCGGAATGGATTTGCGTTAGTTGGAAGGAAAGGGTCCCGTGTTGCCGCCCTGTTCAATCGACGATGCCCAGCTGGAGCGCCTCTGGAGCGGCTATAGGACCAACAAGCCATTCTAGCTCGGCGAGCGGCCTCACGCCACTCTCGGGAGTTCCAGCCAACGCTCAAGCCGCCTCCATCGACACGGTCCAGTAACCACGTATGGTTGTAGAGGCCGCCCACACAGGTGCCTCGTTCAGACTACAGTGCCATTGACCGAACAAAGCCCATGTAAAGCCGTCTTGTCGTGACGCTGGATCACCCAAGTCAGCGTCTCAATGCGCCCGACCACCCGAGACTCCCATGGTGGACAGGTGCGCCGCCTATGGAAAGTCAAGCCAAGAATTCTTTTAAAACACATTCATCTTGTATATCATCCACCAGATCAATCGGGTACCTATACTTTTTGGAGTTTTATGGCATTCACTCTAACATCTGCTTCAGATATTATATCGAAATGTGGCATATTGGGTAGAAGGTATTAACCCAGAAATGGTCAAGCCCACGCGACACTTTTCGTCTTGTTTCTCTTTGTAAAGCCTTTTTAATTTTTTCATTCATAATTATCATTCTCAGCCCACATAAACAAGTTGCTGGATTTTGTTTTATGACTGTTTTGCTCTTTTGCCGTTAATTTATGGGGCGGCAAACCCTACAGACTGAATCTTAAAATATAACCACTGTATACACACACACTACGGTGGTTACACAGATATATATTTTTTATTTTATAACTTTAAAGGGCTGTAGAGATAGGCTGGCAACAATACCAAAAATGTTTCCTATCATTCATGTTTACCTATAAATATAATATACTACTAGTACATGAATATAACATTTTGCACAGACATCTGCCAATTACCATAGTCTTTCAATATCTTAGGATTAACTAAAAAATTAAGTCGTTTCAAAATTTTATTCATAAAAAGAATACCACACTGTAAAGGAAGAGAATAGCAAATAAAATAACATTATACTAATACTACAAATCAATACAAACTAAAGTCTCACATAGTTCATGTCCTGAGAAATACATTTAATTATGTTAAGTTTGGTGTCTAGAATAATTATTACAAAATAAATAATAAAATGTCAGCTTAATATTACTAAATTTAACTATGTCAATATTTTTATTTGGCATAACTATTTGATGAAGGATCAATAAAGTATGGTTTTGAACATTTATAAATACTGTCCAATCTTTATATTTCAATGTACTATGTACAAAGTATTTATTTCACTTTCTTTTCTACATTCATAGATTTTATATGAAAAAAAAAACAACTTAATTTCCACCTGATTTAGACATGGCGTTTCATAATTAAACAAAGGGTTTGCTATATTTACTCAGTCTTAGTTTGTAATGTCAAATTAATGAGTTAAGTTTAATCATTTCTATACTTATTAGCTAAGCCCTCCAACCTGGCAATAATTTTTTGCAAGTCGGCAGTTTTATCCATTTTTAGATAAGTATTATTTCTTATTACATGCAACTTGATCCATTCTGGTATTTCCTCTGTGAGAACCTTAATGTCCCTTTGTAAATCATTAGCTGAAACATTGGATTTGAAACTGCTATCCAATTTGGAAAGAATTATGTTTAATGCGAGAACATTCTTTCTTTCTGTGACGAAGATATTTCTAAGTGTCCTAGCAAGATCAGGCAAGCGACTGTAAATTATGTATTTTTGATCATGATCAGTAGACCTGGTCATAGCTTCTAGAGCTTTGGCGGCTTGTTTTGCTTTAACTTTCTCTAGTAGAGATGTGGGAAGATTACGAAGTGCAGGATTTAATAGTGTTACTGTACTGGTAGAAGATTGCGTGGTTTGTGTACCACTTGTTTTTACACCATTTAATGAAGGGCTAGGCTTATCATCTGGTAGTCCTGTGGCTACTTTCTCTTCTTCCGTTAGGCCACGGGCTTTAGCTTGGGCCAACTTTTCTAAAGCTCGTTCCATTTTTGTATTACATTTAAATAATTCACGAGCCTTGGCTAGTACGTCCTGTGCGTTAGAAAATTTCTGGACGTTCGGCATTTCAGGTAGTTTTGCACTCTCAACTTCTGGTATTTTTTCGATCTCGAATTCAGGATGCCAACGAGTTAACTTATCATCGGGAATCTCCATTGGCGGATCAAGTGTCTTTAGGTATTGTGCATGATGTTTTTTTACCAACTGTAACAAAATATCATAGAAGTATCTACGTCTTTCTAACAGTACACTAGGGTTCATATTTTTAATGTCATTAGGAAAATTTGGTGAAATAACTAATTCATATTCTTCTTTGTGGGACGAAGCACTAAAGTTCTTCATCTTTTGGACATTATAATTGTAAAAATCTGGCACTAAATGTTTTATTTGAGCTAAATGTTTTTGTGTAAAAGATCTCTTAAGCATTTCTTGTACAGAGGGTTTCAGTTTAGCAAATGTGATTTTTTCATTTCGATTATATAGTAGAGCCACAACGGTTTCCATCCCACGAAATAGTTCAGCAAGGAATCTATAGTGATGTGGTAGAGGGAGACTGCTAGATGATGTCGCCAGTGCAGCATGACGAATGTATGCTGGAACCTGGAATACAAATATATTTTTCTTAATTATTGTTTTTAAGGTTGCATTTATGTAATACAATTTTCTAATTATGAGTTGTCAATCAAATAGGTGTAATGACTAGAATAAACATTAAGTGATATAGTTTACATTTTAAAATATTGGGGGTACATATATTGTTACCAAACAAAGTCTTTCTTGCGGAAAATTTGACTTGAAGTAACAAATTAGGACAATATATAATAGTATCATAAGTGTCACATCATAAAGACTATGTATTGTTTATAGGTGACTGTAAAATAAAGTAAGACACTATTTAAATTATGGTTAGATAGTTAAGTAAAGACCAAAAACTATTATAAATATGATTACACAAGACTTTTACAGAACAGTTCCCCTCCTACCTCCAACCCTATTTTTTAAAGAGGGCAGAAAAGTATTATAATAATTGTTATTACTTTAAGAAAATGAGTACTTAAATAATGAAATTCAGAGAACTTATTAGACTACAACATTGAACTAATTAAGTATATTCACTATCACTTCTGAGATTATTTAGATGGTGGTTTGTAAAAACATAAAATACTAAAAAGATGTCGAGTTAACTAAAACTGTTAGGTCTAGAAGCATGAAATTTTGCATGTTACTTAGGTAACATAGGTATGCACTAAGATTTTTTTTTTTAATTCGACCCCTAAGGGAGCAAAATGGGGGTTGGAAATTTACATTAAACTTCGTTATTTTTAGTAGTAGCATTTCTACTCACAGTCAATAATACTCTTTATCAAAAGTAATAAAAAAGGTTATTAGTAATTGTTCAAAATTACCCTTTAAAAGGAGTGCAGGTTTGTTTGGGGAACAATTTTTTTTTATTTATAATTTATTTAAATAAATAGATTCCAAACTCTCAGTATCATTATATTCTCTATCAAAATATTAATTATTAGACACACATTTTTTTAACTTTCCAAAACTACCCCTATGTGGTTAAATGAGATAAAATAGGGTTCTGAATTTATGTGAGAAGAACCTTAAATTCCGGGAGATGATTTCTATTATGACGTTTTCAGCAATTCATTCATAACCTATATCTCTCGACTAAAATTAAATAAAAAAATCAAAAATGATGTATATCCTCATGGTTTAAAGCAAAAGTTTGCTGGACCACTATTAAAAAAAAATATTGCTTAAGAGGATAAAATGGGGATGAAAGTTTCTAAAAAGCGATTTACTTACAACACACTTTTATCTGTAAAAACTATTTGCATGAGTAGACTCAACCAATATAATAATTCATACTTCAAAAATTAAAGTTTCATTAAAACATTCATGCCTCATTTCAACCCCTGAAGGGAAGGATTTACAAAAATCTCTTATTCCTATAACCTTGATTAATAGTATCCTCTACAATGTCTGATGCCAATCACTCTGTAGACGAAATTTCAGGCAAATGCTATGAGTACTTGTTTTAATAATATTTAATTTTAATTTAACAATTCACAAAAGAAATAACGACTTATACAAAAACATATATTATATGACATATAATATAAACTAGCTGTGCCTCTGAATTTACTTTTAAATAAAATAATTTTGTAATCTTTCTATTGCAATCAGTTCATTACATTCACTTCATAAATTATGTGTTCTCTTTATAATGTTGTAAAGATTAGCTAACTTTCAAATTCAAAGCCCACTAGAACTTGTGGGACAGGATCAGACAAACTTTATTAACTTTTACCCCTTTCGAAGGTATTAGGAGAAAAGTTGGGTGTAGTAGATAGAATTAATAATTTTTTTATCCTACTTGTACTATCAAATTAGAGATACAGACTAATTTTGAGTGTTTTACATATAAGGGTTAGCAAATAAAAAAGATGTAACAAGGATTTTGTTACATCTTTTTTGTTTTTGATAATATAAAATTTCAATTTTTGACAGTCTCCATAAATTTTATAGAGATAAGCAAGTTTTAATGTTAAGTTAAATTAGTTAAATATGAATTTGGCTTAATTTACAAGTACAAGTTAATGTTGTCCTAAGTATTTTGTGAATATTATTGACACATTAGTGTGAATATCATATCTGTATTTGTCACTAATGGGTGTTTTGTACATGATCAGCAATGATTTTAGATAGGATGTTAACAACATCTTACTAAATATTTGATGATCTATATGTTTATCATCTGTGTGTTCATATTTGCCAATATCCTCAAGTACCTGTATTAAAATATTTACAAAATCATAGCAGAGCATGTTTTCATTAAGTAAAAGACCTGATAATATACTATATATTAAAATAAATACTTTTTAATTTAAAAGGTCTACTAGGAACCGAAGTTACTAGTATTCTCGTTAGCCCCTCCCGCTAAGCTAAATTGCTTGTTAGGAGTGAGTTCACGTTATTAGTATACTGTTCAGGATTTGAACCTCTTGATCGCAAATCCAATGCCTTAACCACTAGGCTACCGCCGCTACAATGTTTGTTTGTTAGTATTTAGTATCTAGTAATCCTGGCAGCCAGGGAGATATCATAAAACATGCAACTTCTTTTATCTAAGAGAAAAATTAAGGGATCAATACCCTAGTCTCTGAAACTCTTAGGCCAATTTTAATAAGTAATTATTGAGGTTGGGTGAAATTATAAGCCATGAATGAATGAAACACTACAACCAGTAGGAGCAGAGCAGGTAACATGCATGCATGTGAAACTGTTGGGAGTCACTAATAGTGTAGAGATTTTATAATGTAAATATTATATTGTATAGTGATTCACCTTCCGCACACACTTTTTAAGCTGTGACAAAAAGTCTATATCAGTTGAATTAGTAGATCCTTAAGCCAAAAAGAGTACAAATAGAATTTAGTTACATAAAGATGAGATGGCAATACTTTAACCATTTTGTCATATAAAAAAATATTATAAAAATATTATATTTTGTAGATAGCTAGCTTTTTTCAAATTCAAATTATTTATTTTGCAGAAAACACTGTTACAATGGTGTTAGAAAATTACGTTTCAAGTGCTCCTACTGTATGGTTGTTATGGAATTTCAAGTGTTCATAAAAAAAAATTAGTTATATTTTATTTTGTTGGCCTATTTGTAAAATAAATCAAGCTATTCATATTCATTACAATCAATCCATAGCAATCCGCCCTAGCTGCGTACCCATACAATGTAGATACTACTAATATGGTGTCAGTGTGGAATATTTTTTTAAGAGTATACTAAAGGACATCTTTATATGCAATATTTATAGGCCCCATCTACGCCGGCGGCTGCCACCCAGGACGGACGTAAGGCGACGGAAGCCCCCGCATTTTAAATCTCTGATATCTACCAAGATAGTCATTTTATTTATATGCTGTAATAGCTTTAGCCGGATTTGCATTTCCTCCACTATAATTTGCTTGTATTATACATGTAAACCCACGTCTTGAATCACTCTCTCTATTGGTGAGAACTGCATTAAAATCCGTTGCATAGTTTGCAAGATCTAATCATACAAGAAGAAAAAGTGACTTCATTTTATACTATGTAAAGATAGGTTGAACTGTCATTCCATTGCATAGTAGGTCAACATTATAAACTGGACAATTGTAGCTTGATGTGGTTACTTTAAAATTTCTAACACATAGTTTAATATTGGTGTTAACTTACTTCACTTCTTCCTTATATAAACTGCAACACAGTTTATATTAGAGCAGGTGTCAGAGAATCTTGTTTGAATTGGGCAATTTTTATGTCAATGAAAAATATTATTCAACAATCTAAACTTACATTCCTAGGTGTGTAATTTATTTTTATTTTTTATGCCACTGGCCACTGCCCGTGAACACTGGCAACTCAAGAGTGTAGTGGTTTAATTGGTCACCATGCCTGTTCCTACCTTATTCACTTGGTGAAAAGGAAGGAACTAATTGCTTAACACTAGTTTTGTGCAAGGCTACCGCTCATCAAGGCTTATTTGTGCCAAAGCATCACTCTCTAATCTATATTTTCCTTTACGTACTTAACATATGTCTACAATAGATGACAATACAAACTAAACTATAAATACTAACCTTGGATGGACTTTTAACAGGACTAACAAAGACTTTTCTGGGTGATATCAGGGGTCTCTGATGAGAAGGCGGTGTTGACACACATTTTTTAGGAGATAGTAGCTCTGCCTGAATTAAAGATTTCTTGCTTGGACTGCAAAGTAAATAAATGCTCTGATGATATGCTGAGATAGACAAGTTACCTGACAAGATAATTCAAAAACAGAAATCATTAAATAAGTTTTGAGAAGTAAGCAAATGTTAAATGCATACTAAGCTATGTGTAAGCACTTTAAAACTAACATGATATTATTCTAAAATATAATACAATAATCTTACCTTGAAGGTACTTCCACATCAATGGACTTAAATTCTTTGAGATTGCGCTTCTCACTAGCCGCTTTAAGCTCTTGTATGCCCTTGCTAAGACGATCTGCTGTAGCCTTTAGTTCGGCTAACCTAGAACTGCTAGCTAACTTTTTTCTAATATCACCAAGACTCAACTCTTTTCGAGAAGAAACCACTATGTCAGATTTGCAGGAAGCTGTACTTTTTACCGTGTTTCCAACATTATCCTTCTTGGCAAATGCTGAACTAACTTTATCCTTAGAAGAAACATGTAGTGATGCAGGCTTCTTTGTAGTTTCACAAGTTGTTTCTTCGAGTTCAACAGAAATTAAATCACATTTTTTTATAATACCTTTCCCACTCAGATTAGATTCTAAAGTCCTATCAATATGTGGAACTTTACTTTTAGAAGCTAAAATATCGTCAGTAGCGGGTCTTTTCCTGCTATTAAAAAACGACGTGATTGTCTTCTGGGACATTTTGTTTTAAACACTTAGAGTCAAATTATAATGGTAAATGTACACTGTTAGGTAATAATTAATTCAACAATTAGACACTTGAAACCCACGAACTACCAGAACTAAACGGTTATAAGGGGACTGAATGCAAGCCAACTATTTTTTCCCTCCAAATTTCCAAAAGTCAAAAACGACTAGTGATGTGTGTTTACATTTTGAAATTAGTCATTTGATCATACAATCGATATAAGTTAAAAGTAGATTTTTTTAGTCACTATCAATTCATTTATAGTGAAATACATATCAGTAGTAATGAATATAAAAGGGCATTGAAACATTAATAGTTCCTTGTTTAAGTAGTTGATTGAGACTATACGCATTATTTTTACAAAGTACTTCGATGCATACATACTTCGAAAGCAGATGTGAAACACAACTGCTATCTGCCATAATATAAATTTCTTACTCAAAATATTTTATTATTTATTGGCTTAAATATCACAAAAGGCACAAATCTAAAAGAAAACTTTTATCTATGCAACTTTTCTGTAGAATCTGCTTCGAAAATGCTGTCATTGTTTTTTGACTTCAATTTGATCCATTAAAAATAGCAATTTCAATTTAAAAAACATATAATTATCTTGTGAATATTATAATCGATTTTAACATCAATATCCTACAACTAACAACTTTCGTAAAATCAACCCGTTGCTGTTCATAATCACCTAATAGATGCCGCATTATTGAATATTAATTGCTTCGCTTCGAGTTTACATTTGGCGGTATGTAAGGGTTACAGGGGACGTGTTGCGCTAAAAATATTTCAAGGTGAAACTTAGAATGCACCGAACCAGAGTGATGGGACTGGGTTGGGAAGTTAATCGATAAAATGGTTTGTTGATCGGAATTATTAATATTTGCTTTATTTTTGATTTATTATTTTATGTTAATGATCAATGTTTATTTGATATTTATTAAAAAATAAAATAATGCTACTCAAACCAAAATAAACGCCACGCGCATAGTCATACAATAAACAAACATTGCTATGGTTTAAGGTTTGCGTAATAAGTAAATGTTAAATTATGAGTTCCTTGAAGTGTGATCAATATTTCTTGCGAAGAATGATATCAAGTGGACTGCACGGATGGCGTAGTGGTTTAAGCGGTCGCCACGCCGCTTTCTATTGCGCCGAGTGTAGTGGGTTCAGACCCCACATGGGACAACACTTTGTGTGATCCACAAATTGTTGTTCTGAGTCTGGGTGTGCTTTGTGTCCGTTTCATGTATGTTTGTGGGGTCCCCCGCGACACAGGATTTCTTCCTAGTGCGGTAGTTGTCTTTTAAAGAAAAAAAAAAAAAAAAAAAGGAAGTGGGTACTTGTGTTTTTTTTATCCCTTCATTTGAGGGGCCTTAAAAATTGTGTTTTTGTATCATTCAATATCACAACTTCTGGCTAGTGTTTCTTCGACTACCGACGCAAACAGTTTATAAGGTTACTTAAATTGCATAATGCCACTTGTTAAGAGACATACGGACGCCATTACAGTGACTAGCATCGTAACTTTGATCTGGGAGGATCACAATGCGCGCTGTGGGTTTAATGGTAGGGTTTTTGTGATGGACGGTTAAAAATGTTCGGAACGGTACCAGGAGACGCGCAGCGTCGTCAGACGTCGTAGCTCAGGAACATTTTGGGACACAATAGCCACTTCACTGTTTTGTACGAGGCGTTCAGTAATACCAATATTCACGCCGTTTTGATCTCCGAGACTTGGCTCGACCCACATCTTCTCTCGGAATGACCGGATAGAGAGGATACGTAGTTTTTTTCCTATAAAATTATTTCATCTTCCATTGCCTCTGCTGAATTTCTATTTCTAGAGGTTTGTGTCAAGGGCGCTAAAGCAGTGCTGGGTATTGTCTATTGTCCCTCTTCTATTGACTTTTTCACCGAATTCGAATCAGCCCTTGAATCGTTGGGTGCAAAGTACGCTCATCATGTCATCATGGGTGATTTTAATACCAATCTCCTAGATCCAAAAGTCCAACTCCTTCTTGAGTCAGTCAGCCTTCACGTTTAGCCACTACATGCCACTCACCACAATAATATCGGTGAGGACACTTGGCTCGACCTAATCATTACTTCCAATCCTTCCCTTGTTTCCTCTCATGGTCAACTAGACGCTCCCGGATTCTCACATCATAACCTGATTTTCCTCGCCTACGTCGTCAAACCTCCAAAACCTAAACCTAGGATTCTGTACAGGAGTTGCTTTTCCAATCAGGTATAAAAAGGAATTCGGACGGCAGTTTGCTGGCTCAGGATACCAATCTAGGGTGGATATTGTCGGGTGTATCGGAGGTGGATGATGCATACCAGATGTATTCGCATATCACGGTGATGCATTCTTCTCTAGAGGCGGATGATCTACTGAAACGATTTTGGGAATTGGAAAGGGAACCGTCTGATACAAAGAAAATCCTCATAGAGGAGGAAAAACGATGTGAAGAATTATTTGCAGCAACCACGAGACGTAATGACAGTGGTAGATACGTAGTACATTTGCCTTTCCGTGATGCTGATCTGGTTAAGGAGTTTGAGGAATCCAAGTCTATAGCTACCAGAAGACTGAATAGTTTGGAAATAAAATTAAACAAGAATATTTAATTGAAAAAGGATTATGCTAAAGTTTTACAAGAATAGACTTAAACCACCAGTACCAGTAGACTAGAAAACCAATAAGGCTGCTATATACTTACCTCACCATGCCGTCATCCGCGAGGATAAGGTTACCATTAAAGTGTAAGTAAAGGTTCCAAGAGAATGTTATTGAATGATTGCCTTTTAGTAGGGCCAACGCTGCAGGCTGAACTTCGCCATATTATAATCCGTTGGAGGCGACATCCAATATGTTTGGTGGCTGATTTTGAAAAAAAATTAGTAGACAGAAAAAATACAATGGTTCAACGGATTCTCTGGAGGGAAGATCCTCAAAAGGAAATTGAAGAGTATGAATTAATTACTGTGACATTCGGTTCTGCGTCAGCACCATACCTAGCGGTTAACGGATTAGCGGATCTCTAGGTTTGATATAATACGCGATTTTTCCTCGATAATTTGTTTTCTTTTTCTTTGCGACATGTTAAAAGTTTCACAAATAACTCGGAATGAATGATTTCATAAGGAATGAATTCATAAATAGGAAAATTGGTCCTAGAACCATTTAAAAATACATAAACAGCATTTTTTGCACATGTATCTGCAGTCTCATTTCCTGGCATTCCTACGTGTCCAGGAATCCAGGCTTAGACAATATTTATGTTCAGTACACATACACAGTACATTAAAATAAAAGATGTCTAATTTTAAGGACAATAGGATTACTAGGATTTGATCGGAATGGGTTTGATAGAATAGAAGGCAGCTTTTGGAATCCGAAAAAAATAGACTATTACTGAAATTATGGGATTTTATAAATGAAATAGCTTCTAAGACTGCTATAGACTCACCAGTTAAGACAGAAGACGTAGCGGGACATTTATAATTTAGAATTATGCTAGTAGAAGGAATCCAGACAGCAGCACCAATTGGGCCATTTGATGAGATTTTGGCAGCGAATTATAATTGGAGGTAATAGACTTTTCGCTTCTATTGAGCACTTGTTGGTTCCTAAGTCCAGAATGACATTCGGTTCGGTATTAACGCTTCGTATGGCGGACAAATAAGAGGTAACGTGAATTTTACCTCTTCGAATAGGTGGGCTATAGCGACATTTGATATTATTTTGTGAATGACAAATTTCATACTTACCTATAATTTTCTTACCAATGTGTAAATGGGACTTAAGAATGCGTATTTGTGGTTTAGGTGTATAAATTCAGATAAATAAAACCATCAAACTGTCACAAAACTTTATTTTTTCTTTTTATAACTATAAGATTAAGCCACCGGTAAAGAAAACCAAAACCAAAATAATTAGTTATCGATTTAGGAACAAAATAATCAAATAATCGAATCAAATCGATTCATCTATTCCTAGATTTTGTACCATTGACATAACCTTGTAGGCGCGTAATTATAAATTTATTAATTTCGTCAAATCATTTTAGGCAAGAAAGGTAGAAAGGTAATAAAAAATATTTAGCCTTTCTTAGTGTTATTATTGATTGCGAAAAATCGAGATTGCCGGTTAGACCAGTAAAAGAAGGGCTTTATCAAGAAAAAGGTCCAACCGAGATATTTCGACGTATTTTGATTCTTTTCGGTACACCATGATAATATACCTAACTAAAAAGCAACAGATGCGACTGTGCCACTATTTTGTAATTTGCTGTTAAAGTTGCAAAAGTATAGTTTTTGGCCATTATACATTTTCCTCGACTTTTTACGAAGAAATGTACATATTATGAGAAAGTTGTAGATTTTAAAAATATCTACAAAATGAGACTTAGTGGGTTCCAATTGGTTATTTTGTTTTATACAATTTGCAAAAAAACTGCAAAAAATCGTTGTTGGTTGAATAATTTTTTGAATAAAAAATTTACAAATGTAGGCTTACCAAACTTCGATAAATCATAGGCTCCGATGTGCAGTATAAGCGTTTTTTTCAACTTAATTATTACAGCTTTGGAAAGGCGTACAATGTTGTATTTAGGCTCATTATCTTCCTTAAGAGTTGTGCTTCAAAAGTGCAGCACTGAAACGACATGCACTTTTTTTTTAACAAAAATTTATTAGCATTATTCACTTTATGTTTAAAACTAAACTTAAATATTGAAAATACAAAGTATAAATATCCTTAGCTTTATCTGTCTGTCCTTAGCTGTATGATTTCTGAGATAAAACCTACCCTATGTACTTTCCCGGGACTTGGATTATCTCTATATCAAATTTCATCTAAATCGGTTCAGCAGTGCGTGCGCATGAAGAAGTAACAGACAGACAGAGATATTTTCGCATTTATAATATTAGTATGGATGAATGTGATGACAATGACCGTTTCTACCTCTGCACTCTG